GAGGGGTGGCATCGGCCTACGAGCGCGGGGCACCGGGTGCTTTGCGGCTGGGACTGGAGCGAAGTCTCCAAGGAAACGCGAAGCGGAAGGTAGGCATCGAGCTCCGCACAGTGGGGCGCGGGTGTGCCCAAAGTGGCCGTGGCCATCCCCGGAGGGCGCATCGGGGCGCATCCCCTGCCCTCCTGGGGGGGGGGAGAAGAGAGGGAGGGCCTCGAGGAAGCCGTTGCATTGGGCTCAAATTTACAAGACCCTAGGCTCATACCGCCTGCCTGCTTTCGTCTAATGCCACTCCTTGTGGACATGCTTTTTTCCACTTTCCTTCCTGCTTTCCCAAAATGAGCCTTGAGTTGCTCATTTTGATTTAGGGATTTTGGCCTGTCACCTTCTCCAGGAAGCCTTTCTTACTTTTACTTCCCAGAGCAGCCTTCCCTGCCTGCCCCCATTTTGGTCCTCCCCATTTTCCTAACCAGGATGGAAAACGTTTTTTTTTGGTAGTGGTGATGCCTGGACGGTTCTACCTTTCCGCAGCCCCCTGTCTGGCCCCAGCAATAGATGCTTAACTAGTATTTGTGGAACAAATCAAGAAAAGGAAGTTTCATTTATTAAAATGTCTAACCAGGTGTTTATTATTTTGTTATTCTTATTCATTGCACAATTCCATGTCTTCCATTTTTACTTTTTGTATAGATGCGTTTTTGTGTGTTTGTGGTGCTGGGAATGGAACTTAGGGCTTTGAGCCTACTAGGCAGGTGCTCCACCACTGAGCTACATTCCCAGGCCTTTATTATTATTATTATTTTTACAAAGGTACAAGGCGTTTCAGAAACATGAAAACAAACTGTTTCAGGCACGGTTTCATATTAAAAGCATAGATCAATTTCTGACTTCCTGTTTCCCACCAAGATTCGACCTCAAGTATCTTTCCAGGAAGCAGTTATTGTAGCACTAAGTGGGCAATCAGCCTCTGATCTCCAACTGCTGTCCTTATCTGCAGAAAGTTCCTGAGTCAACAGAAAGGGGCCTCCCAGGTGTGCAGGAAGGAGATTGGGGCTGCTCTGCCCATTTGGCTGGACCCTTTGTCAGTGCTGGGTAGGTATGCTCACTCAGCTCAAGAACATAAAAAACACAATTAAAAAAATAAGATGGCTTAAAAAAATACCTGATAAAAATTACCTATCCCTCTCCTTTGCTATGAAATAAATAATTTATTCTAGATGTAAAAAGGGAAAGGTTTGTTCAAAGCTGCCTGTGTCCTGTTTTTGAGTGTGAAGCCTGGATCCCTTGGGGGGAGGGGAGGAGCACATTGGAAGGGATGGGCTGGCCTGGGTGGCAGCCACAGGCTGCTGGGTTCCCTCCACAGCTGCAACCTGAGACCTCAGGGTTAGGATGTGCTGACTTGTGGGAGATAGCATGCGCCAGTGGGTGGAGGTGGGAAGTGCTGCTCACAAATGCAGTGGGGGAGGTAATCCCACCTAGGGGTGCTCTGCTTCCCTGATCATGCCCATGCTTGGCCTTTTCCTCCAGAGCACAGTATGAGAAGCTTGGCTGGTGCATCATGGGAGCCTGAGTCCCAATGACGGAAGAAGTAAGTGATTGGGGGATGGGGTCTGTGACGAGTTAGATGGGGTACCAGCTATGGGTAGGGTGTAAGGGCAGATGGGAGGACTGAGTTTTGAGTCCTAGGTCCTGTCTGGTGCTCCTTCTTCGCTTTGATGAGTGCCCAGAGGTGCAGAGGTGCTCTTCACTTTCTTGTTGCAGCTCCTGGGCTTTGTGTTCACACAGGGGGCCAGGCTCTTGTCTGCAGTCAGCTTCCGGATTCCTGGGAGGGGCCTGGGCATCTGTATTTCCTGACATACACTGTGGGCTCAAAGCTATGCTGGGTGGCTGTCCTACAGTGGCCATCCAGAAGGGCCCAGTGAGAGAGGCCAGTGTGTGTGTGTGGTCTGTGCCCGCAGGTTAAGGAGCAGCCACAGAAAAATCTCAGCTCTCATTCTCCCTAGGGATGAGGGCTGGCCCCTGAGAAAGAGCAAACTCAGAGCAGCACTCAGGACATAGATCCACAGAGCAGGGACACCCACTTGGCCTTTGGACCACATTTTTGGCCTCTAGTCCTACTTCCTCTCCAGCGTGTGTGTGTGTGTGTGTGTGTGTGTGTGTGTGTGACGGGGGTGACTCTGCACATCCTGTTCTGGGGTTCTCCACCTCCATGGGTCCCCTCTGCTATTTTGGAGGAGGCAGGCTGTCACCAAGAAGTCACAGATAGCTCTGTAGGTAGACCCTACTATCTATATCCCTGGGTCAGGCCGATTGTGGGGGGAAAGAATCTGGCTGACTCTCGGTTCACTCGCCCTCAGGTTAAAGCCTCCTGGGCCCCTTTATAGCCAACCTAGGTCATGAGCACCATGCAGGGTCAAGTCAAGGTTGCTGGTAGCCCGTCCTACTGAGGCTCACACCAGGTGTGCCTGGTTCAGAGGGAGAAACTGCAATAAAGAGGACTTTGCAAGAGGTCACCAAGGAAGCTGAACACAGCCAAGGCCAAAACCAATTGAGTTCAGGGTGAGAAACAGTAGACAGACAAATAGACAGACAGACCCAGGAGAGCAGGATCTCAAGCCCAACGCTGCTGTGATCCCACTTGCTTCTCCTACAGACTTCTCCACCTGTAAAATGAGGGAATCGGGCCAGATCACTCGTTTACAACTGTAAAAACAAAAAATGACCACTTGCTATCTCAGGTCCAGCTCTTACTTTCTACAATGTTCTTTTCCCCACTCAAGAACTTCTAGCCATAGCAGACCCTTAACTGAATTCAGCAGGAGGCAAAGTGTCATCTAAACAAAGTCAGGACAAAACCGCTGTTGAAAGAAGGCAAAGAGAAACACCGGCTCCGAGTCCCACTGCAATCTCTTTCCAAGGCCGAGAGTTTTGTCTTCTCGTAAAAAATATAGAAATAGTGGTTGTTCTTGGGGGACTTGTGGTTTGGTTCTGGACCTCCCCACAGAGCCGAGTGGTGTCCCTGAGGTGAGGGTGGCAGAGACCTCTGCTCAGTACTGTCCCAAACTCATCTGCAGGTTTTTGATCTCCAGTTCCAGCTGCTTGGCCTGGACCTCTCGCTGTGTCACCAGTTCCCGGAGCCTTCGAATCTCTTCCTGCTGTCTGTAGAACATCTGTAGCAGCTGGGAAAGCAGAGATCAGAGGACAGAGTTACTGGCTAGCCTGGGATGCTGGGGCAGGGCACTAGAAGACCAAAACACCACCCCACTCTTTTTTAGTGATACTAGAATTTGAACTCAGTACTTCATGCTTGGAAGAGGTAGTTGCTCTGCCACTTGAGCCATGCCCCAGACATTAAAAATAATTTTGGTACTATTAACATGTTATACAGAAGGGCTACAATTTCATAAGTCAGATAATGAGTACATTTTTTTTTGGATAATATCACCCCTTCCTTTACTTTTCCCCAGTTTCTCTTTTTCATTCCTTGTCCATAAGTTACACAGGTCATTTTCTACCATAGTGTATACTGAAGACCATGGTGGCATTTGTTCACCCTTCCTCCCTCCCTTTCTGCACCTTCACTTTACCCACCCAGGAGAAAAAAAAAACCCAAAGTAAAAACATATACCACCACTAATAACATAACAAAAAAACCCCATGTTTCCATTTCCTGGTGTTCATTTCAATAAATAGTTTAAATGTTAGGAGGAGTTACACCTTTGGGTTCCTCCCTTAAGGGTATCTATCTGCCTTTAGTCTGGCTGACTGTATGTGAATGCCTAGAATCCTATGTAGGTTTTCAGCTTATCATGTCCAGGGGTATTTTAGGTCTACCTTTGACATCTGGGAGAAAACATGTGCCATTTGTCTCTGAGCTTGGCTTACCTCACTTAACATGATTCATGGTTCCATTTCCCTGAAAATGACATAATCTTATTCTTTCTAATGGGTGAATATATTTTTTTCCAGTCATGGGTTGTAAACTCTGGGCCTGGGTGCTGTCCCTGAGCTCTTTGGCTCAAGGCTAGTGCTCTACCATTTGAGCCACAGCACCACTTCTGGTTTTCTGAGTGGTCTTATTGGAGAGACTCACGGACTTTCCTGCCTAAGCTGGTTTTGAACTGTGATTCTCAGATCTCAGCCTCCTGAGTAGCTAGGATTACAGGTGTGAGCCACCAGTGCCAGCTTGTAGGGAAATTCTGTTTAGTTTTTTTTTTTTTTTTAAGAATCTCCAAACCTCCTTCCAGAATGGTTGCACTAGTTTACATTTCCAAAAATGCAGTAGGGTTCCTTTCTCCCCACATCCCTGCCAGCATTTGTTGTTGTCCAAATACATGTTGGCCAATTTAACTGGATGAGATGGAATCTCAGAGGTTTTTTTTTTGGGGGGGGGGTCTGGTCATGGGGCCTGAACTCTGGGCCTGGGCGCTGTCCCTCAGCTCTTCAGCTCAAGGCTAGTGCTCTACCACTTGAGGCACAGCGCCACTTCCGGCTTTTTTCTTTTTGCTTATGTGGTGCTGAGGAATTGAACCCAGGGCCTCATGCATGCAAGGCAAGCACTCTACCACTGAGCCACCTTCCCAGCCCCTCAGAGTTGTTTTGATTTACATTTCCATTATGGCCAGGGATGTTGAGCATTTCCTCATGTGCCAATTTGCCATTCTTCTTCTAAGAAGGCTCTCCTTGGCTCCTTTGCCTTTTTATTGATTAGTTCCCTTAGCCATGTTTGCTTTAATTATTCAGATAGGGTGGTACAAGTTTGCCTGAGTGGAGTTTGGACTGAGATCCTCCTACCTACTACAGCCTCCAAGAGTAGCTGGGTGATAGTCATGTGCCACCATATCTAGCTTGTTCTTTGAAATTAGGTCTCAATAATTTTTTTGGAGGGGGGAGGACAGGCCTTCACTTTCCAAGGCCTCCCACGGAGCTGAGATTACAGGCATGAACCCCTTTTGCCCAATACTGCCACTTTCTGACTCAAGTAGAGGTGATGAAAACTAACAAGGGATAACCATGATGCCTATCTGCTACAAAGTCTTGTTTATTTCATCCAGCAAGTGAAATTCAAAAAGGCTTGAATGCTTCCTGAGGACTGGAGGACAGGATATTCTGTCCTGATGTCTAGAGATCGGTGTTTTACCAATCTGTGGTGAGTTACCTACCTACTCTAAGCTTCAATCTCCTCTGGGAATGGGAGTCAGAAAAGTTACCTCACCATTCACACAGTACGGTTAGCAGTCTAGATTTTGGTGGGGAGAGTCGCTCCACCAAAGGGAAGTGAGCCCGGGTCTGAGGCCGTGGGCAGAGCCACCATCACCTCTGCATCCTCAGTGACATGCCAGCCCTCTTCTCAGCTCCCACACTGACCTCCAGGGCTGTGGAGAGAACTGAGTTCCAAGTGCTGCCAAGGGCCTGCCTGCTCGCTCCAGAGCCCGGCACCCAGCAGGCACTTAACAAAGCCAACTCTACCTTCTTTTTTGCAGTACTGAAGACTTGATCCAGGGTCTATGCTGAGGCAGGTACTCTACCACTTGAGCCACAATCCCAAGCCCTAAAGGTTGATGCTGAAAGCTTAGAAAATTCCAGAAGGTTGGTGCTGTACAATGCCCTCCAGGTTAAATGTGAATTTTACGGATGCTTCTTTGCCAGCAACTCACGTTCTCTTGTTCATGTTGGTATAGACTCGGTGCTCAGAGCCTACTTATTGACTGAATTATTCAGGTAAGCCAAGGACCAGGCCAGGCCAGAGAGATGGCTGCATCTCTCATGCCCTTATTCCTCTGCCTTCTTCTAGGACCTTCCCATGGCGGGGGTGGGGGGCTGAGCTGATCCCCTCTCCCAATGGCCCCCCATATGCCTGCTTTCCCTCATACCTCGTTCTCCGTCTTTGGTGGAGGACATTCAAAAACATCAAAGCCATTTGTGAGCCAAGACTTCTTCTCTTCCAGCTGGTGTTCTGTTGTCCAACTTGTCACCTTCCCCTCTGGCAGAGAGCAGGACTTCCGGCCAACGTCTACAGCCAGCTTTGCTGTAGGCCCCAAGGGCGGGCTTGAGGCAGAGGCCCCAGAAGTGGAGAGGGGTCTCTCCGGAGGCAGGGGCTGGGGACTCAGCAGCTGAGAGCCAGGCCTAAGAGACATCAGAACTGGATCTGGGAGGAAAACAAAAGGCTATCAGCGGACTGAGCAGCCCTAAGCAGATGGTCATAGGGCACGGACATAGTGTAGGTGCCCCCATGACAGGAAGCCACCTGCATGCAGCTACCTACACAAAGGCTGGCGTGTGGGAACAGCGGAGCATGTTCACAAGAGCTACCCCAGAGGCCATGAGCTCCAGGGGAGGGGGCCACCCTCAGTGTCCTCTGCCATCTACTAAGTTCATTGTTAGCACTCCAGGGAGCAAGGAAGGCAGGCACCACAATACAGAGGGAAGGTGGAGGCTGGAGGGAGGGTGCAGAGTCCAGATAAGTACTGCACAAAACTGGGAAATGACACTAGTCAGCAGGGTCAGGACTTCAGATCCTGGGGATATCTGAAATATGGGGGTGTGCACCAGATGTGGGTGGGGACATAGTTCTCCTGCTGGGCTGATACTTGCACTGACAGAAGTGGACAGTCAGGCCTGGCAGTGGGCAGAGGAGGTAAATGCAATGTGTGGGTGGGGAACAGATAGGAGTCTAACCATAGTCACCTGATTAGCCTGCATATGACACCTTCCACAGGGAATATCCCTTGAGCTAGACTTCCTTCTTGTCTTCTTTCCTTCCTTCCTTCCTTCCTTCCCTTTCCTTTCCTTCCTTCCTTCCCTTTCCTTTCCTTCCTTCCTTCCCTTTCCTTTCTTTCCTTCCTTCCTTCCCTTCCTTCCTTCCCTTCCTTTCTTCCTTCCTTCCCTTCCTTCCTTTCTTTCTTTCTTTCTTTCTTTCTTTCTTTCTTCTCTCTTTTCCTTGCTGCCCCTTGGTTCTTTTGCTTAAGTCTAGTGCTCTACCACTTGAGCCACAGCTCCACTTCTGGCCTTTTGCTAGTAAATAGTTTCCTAGGCTTTCCTGCCCAGGCTGGGTTTGAACTGCAGTCTTTGGATCTCAGTTTCCTACTAGTGAGGATTACAGGTGTGAGCTGCCAGTGCCAGGCTGAGCTGGAGTTTCAGAGTGCCTTGGTGAAGCGCCTGACTCACTAGCCCTGTGTGTGACTGTGTAATCAGTGGGGACTGGCTGTCCTCTAAGAGACAGGACAAAAAAAATATAGGCAAAACCCTGCTCAACCACTCAGGGCCACTGGAAAGCCAGTCTCCAACAGCCCCCCCCCCCTCAACTCTCTTGTTTTCCTCCTTCCTCACCTTTGTTCATCCCACTGAGCCACTCCTGGGCAGACAGGGAGGGCTGGGCCCCTGCTGTGGGTGGGTAGATGTCTTCTTGGTACGATTCCGACTGCAAGAGAACTCTGGACAGTGAGGGGATGGCCAAGGGGTGGCTGCCCACATGGGGAGGATTACCCCCACCCCTGCTGAGCTGAGGCCACCAAGGCCCAGATCTGCCCAGAGCACAACAAAGGTGGGCGAGGCCCAGCCCCCTGGCCCCAGTGATGTCACATTGACCCTGAGCAGGGCCATTCCCCCAGTGAGGGCCCCTCAGCCCCTCCCTACCGTGGCTGTGCCCCCACAGCATAGGCCAGAGGTTCTGGGACCTGGACACCCCAGCCCTGCCTCCTCCATGCCTTACCCGCCGGGGTACGATCATGGAGACGGGCTCAATGAGGCTTTTGGTTGTGATCAGCTTGTAGAAGCGGAAGATCTCGCAGGAGGACACGTCGAGACCTCTCTTTGGCATGACACCTGTGGATTGGTGGCCAAGGAGGGTCAAGGCGTTCTAGTCAAGCTGGGCCCCGGTGGGCCTAGAGTACAAGGCAAAGCCAAGCTAAATACCTGGACCCTTAGTGGAGGCTGGGCCAGGCCCTGGGCTAGAAAAATGGAATCAAAGTAACCAGATTCCTCTCCACCCTCAAGGGTTTCAATAGTTCTAGCTACAATGTCACAGGCACTATCATGCTCTGCTCTACTCTCCCTGCCTCCATCTCAAAGCCTCTGCTCTGTAACAGCTGCTTAGTCCGGTTAGCCTATTTTTGACTCTGATAGCACTGAGCCTGAAACTCAGGGCCTTGCATTTGCTAGGTGGGTGCTCTACCACTTGAGCCGTGCCTCTAATCTTTTTTTTTTGGTGCTGGTACTGGGGCTGGAACTCCCCTGGGTTTTCTCCCTTTTTCCATTCCAGGTTGGCACTCTACTACTTGAACTACACTTCTACTTCTAGCGTTTTGGTGGCTAATTGGAAGCATCTTTTGGATTTGTCTCTCTGGGCTGGCTTCAGGAACCACGATCCTCACATTTCAGTCTGTGGAGTAGCTAGGATTACAGGTGTGAGCCACTGGCGCCTGGTCTGGCTCCTTTTACAAATTTTAGTTATTTTTCATATAGGGTTTTATGTTCTTGCCCAGAGCTGGACTCCTCCCCACGCTGGGATGACAGGCATTTAGTATTTCATCTGGCTCTTTGTTGAAGTGGGGATTTTGACCAACTTTTCACCTGGGCTAGCCTCAAACATCAGTCTTCCTGATCTCCAATTCCCAAGTAGCTGAGGTGACAGAAGTTACATTATGGTGGCTGGCTTCCAGTTTTCTATTCATTAGTGTTAGCATGGTGTATCTGTCTTCAGTCCTTTACTTTTTAGTTGTTGTTGTAAAGGTGACGTACAGAGGGGTTACAGCTACCTAAGTCAGATAATGAGTACATTTCTTTTTGAACAGTGTCACCCCCCTTTCTCATTTTCTCCCAGTTTTTTTCCCCACCCAACCCATCTAGCCCCTTACTTTTTTTTTTTT